TTTTTTTTTTTTTTTTTTTTTTGGTACCAGGGATTGAACGCCTGTCCTTGTGCTTGCAAGGCAGGCCACCGAACTGCTGAGCTAAATTCCTGGTCTAAGCCATAAGATTTTCAAGGATATCATAACAGTTGTCATAGGACACCAGTATCGGACACGGTTCCCTTATAATCTCAAGGGAACAGGGCAAAACAAGACCACTCTGTAAACAAACTGGAATAATTCCAAACACTTGCTCTCTTGGCCGATGATGATTACGTGACATTTTGTGGATAAAAAATTTCAGTTTTAGTCTATTTCCTTTCTTCCACCTCCTTTAAGAAAGTCTTATAACAACTCATAAAATTGCCCTGAATGAGGAAAGCGTTAAATCCACAGCAAATATGTTTCCTTAGACCTTCCCTCGGTCCTCGCCGCACACCTCCGTTTCTTCAAATCCTCCAGACATTCACTTCGGCTTTCCATGGTCTCCACGGAATTATTTTTCCCGACAGTAGCTAAGCTTATTTGTTTCACTATGAATATTTATGCTAAAGATGTCAACATGATGCTAGCAGAGAAGTAGACATAAGGAAAAGTTTTTGAAAAATGACACTCTTTATGAGGCCTAAGGCACGTCGTAATAAGAAATTTTGTTTTTCGTCATTAAGTTAGTTAAAAGATGTCAATTTCAAATAAAAGGCTAGTGCAACAAGAGCTCTGATATTGCAATTTTATTTAGTTTTACATTTTGTATTTCATACATAACTAGTATAAAGGATTTTAATTATTTACTTTAAGAGTTAAGGGAAAATTACTTATGCTTGAGTACCTGTCTATATAAAAGTGAGATTCCTGAATTTGAATCTCCTTTATAACATGAGATCTGTTTCTCTGTTCTGTGCTATGGCTATTTTACTTTACATTCTCTCTAGTAGACATTCTAACTTTTATTTGTGTAGGAAAGGAAGGATGGATTTAACCTTGAGGACAAATCATGAATCTTCCTTAAAAATAAGTTTCTGAATTGCTATATAACACATTATTTTAAACTTAGCACTTTACATGTATTTCGCAGATTCCCATGACAAGAAACTGAGCAGAGTGTAGTTGAATCTTTGACTGAGGCTATCATGGGCCTGCAGTAAAGTGTCAGGCTATGCTGTCATCTGGACGATGTAACATGTTTCTAAGCCGACCTAGGTGGCTGGCAGAATTAATTTTCTTGAAGCTGTAATTCAGACTTTACTTCTTTCTGTTTGTCAATTGGAGGATTTCTTCTGCTTCTAGACTTTTACTGCTCCGACTCCTTGAAGCTTCCTTCAGTCCTTGCCATATGTGCTTCCTTCCTGCAGCCACTTGCTTGTTCAGGCACCAGGAGAATCTCTAGAGTGAGAGTGGAGGGAGGATAAAGTCACTAGAGTGTAACGTAGCCATGGAAGTTGCATCTCTTCAACCATATCATATTTACCAGAGCTAATCTGAGCTACTGACCACACTCAGGAAATTACATGAAGGCATGAATAGAAGCAGCTGAATATTCCAGGAGCCAATTTAAATTCAATTTGCCATACCCTTAAACTCACTGATGTGCCAAGCCATAGTTTAAGTCTCAAGCAAATTTTCCCTCTTTTCCCCTCTTGTGTTTTGGATAAATGGAAGACATGTGGAAAAATTTCTGCAATCTGGGGATAACACGTGTTATAATGAGTGGCTGTGAAATCAGATTTCTTATTACACAAATAGTATTACACAAATTATTGGACTTATGTTCATAAATCACACATTTTCTTTATATTAATTTTCAAACACTATCTTAATTTTCATTTAATCTTTACTAAGTATATGATACTATCAGCTTTGTATGAATAAGAACAATAAGAAATAGAATAATATTTTGGTTTGATGCTCTTATAATTGCATTAATTTCAGTGGCAGAACAGTTAGTGTATCCTTTAATAGGATGGTTATTACTATATGAAAATGTTCCTGGAACACTTCATTTCCCAGTTTTTAGTTACTTTAAATGGTACCTAAAAATAATATACAGAAATCAGTTATATTTGCTTGTGTACGCATGTATTTCTGCATTTAATTAGTGATATATATCATAATATTTAGCTGATTGAAGGAGTGTTCTCAAACTTAAAATGTCAAAATACAAGAAACATTTATATTTTACCTATTTAATATCAGATTTCTTGTCTTTTTGTTCAACTTTCAAAAATGTACGATAACTTTATAAATTTTATTTATGTATATTAATTTTTGTGTAGCAAGATATGTATTTTTACACTTATTTTTCAACTGATATATAAAATGTGCACACTAATGGAGTACTATGTGATGTTTCAATTAGTGTATACAGTGCATGTTCCCACCAAGAACCCACAAGGCAAGAAAAGCATGGAGTGATGTATTGCAAATCCTAAAGGAAAACAACCTCCAACCCAGATTGTTGTACCCTTCAAAACTATCTTTCAATATTGATTGAGAAATAAGATACTTTCATGACAAAGAGCACCTGAGGAAATTCATGAATAACAAACCAGCCCTCCACAAATTTTAACACAATATCCTAGAAAAGACAATGAGGATCACAACCAGAGGAAGCCAGCAGAATAAGTCTATCAGTCAAGACAAGAAATTAAATGCAAATGGGGAGAATCCAACAAAAACAAAGATTCATGATGATAAGTCAACATGTATCAGTTATAGCCATCAATGTTAATTGCTTTCAATTCACCAGTCAAAAGAAATAAACTGGCAGAGTGAGTCAAGAAGCAAGATCCAATATTCTGTATATAAGAAAAACAATTCAAAAAGGAACTCTTAGACCAAAAGCTAAAGGGTGGAAAATAATGATCCATGCAACAAGAATCCCCCCAAAAGCAGGGGTAGCTATCCTATTTGCAGGTCAAATGGATTTCAAACCAACACTGAATAAGAGAGATAAAGGACATTAGATTCTCATAAAGGGAACAATCCAGGAGGAGGAAATGGCAATCATCAACATATATGTAACAAACACTAGTGCGCCCAACTGTATAAAACAAATACTAATGGACATAAAAAATCATATAAGCACTAATACAATAATAGTGGGGGACCTCACTACTCCATTGTTACAAAGAGACTGATCAACTAGACAAAAAAAATCAACAATGAAATATTAGTACTGAACCAAACTCTTGAATAAATAGAATTAATTGAAGTCTACAGAGTGTTCCAACCCACAAAATTCGAATAAATATTCTTCTTTCTGCACAGCGGTCATTCTTCAAAATAGACCACATACTTGCTCATAAAATATGATTAAGTAAGTGCAAAGGAACTGAAGTTATCCCTGTATATTTTCAG